ACACACACACACACACACACACACACACACACACACACACACACACACACACACACACACACACACACACACACCTCAGAATCCTTTTGTCTTTTCAGATCAAGACTTGTCAAACATTTTAAAAATCACAGGTCCCACAGAAGAGTAGTTTAGTTGTTGATGTATGTGTCACACTGGCAAAGGTTATGCTTAAAATTATACCTTTTTGACATTTTAATATTATATTGTTTAGGTTTTGTGCTGTTTTATGCATGTATTTTAACTGTTAGCTCAGCGCCTAGAGCCTCTATGATCAGCTTTAGAAATAAAATTATGATGCCAAGATAAATTACTTTTTTGGACTGGGGCAAACATAATAGTTTGCTATACAAACTGTTCTCCAAATTCTTGAGGCTGGGGTTCCTTACGATCTGATTCGAAAATTCCAGCTGCCTATCAAACACAAATTAACTGTAACCAAAATAGTGTCTCTCTCACCTCCAAACTTGCTGAGTCTGATCCAAATGCTTAGGCTCTGGCTGTGTTTTTTCTCTGTATTTATGTAGACAGCTGCCAAATAGCCAAAGTCTTCTGAGCAGCCTACAAGATGGTGACAGATTTGCAACACAGAAACTAAGACCTGTTTAAGAAGCAGGGGAGGAGTCCAGGAGAATCCTCCCCAATTAATGTTTTAAAATGCCTATTTGGTGTGATCTGATGTATTTCAATGCCAACAAAGTTAAATTGCCTTCAGAAGAATCTAATATTTAGGGATAAAAAAAGCCAAATCTGCCAGCGATAGTTTAGGAGTATCTGAAGATTGTGATTCATTCTCTTGAATGTAACAGAGGCAGGGCCGGCTCCAGGCACCAGCTTACCAAGCAGGTGCTTGGGGCGGCCACTTCGGAGAGGGGCGGCACGTCCAGCTGTTCGGCAGCAATTCGGCGGACGGTCCCTCACTTCTGCTCGGAGTGAAGGACCTCCCGCCGAATTGCCGCCACAGATTGCGATCGCGGCTTTTGTTTGTTTGTTTTTGTTTTGTTTGGCTGCTTGGGGCGGCCAAAACCCTGGAGCCGGCCCTGAACAGAGGAAGCAAAGTTCACTTGGGAGCACAGAGAAGGTACTGACAACCTTGGGAAAATCCTGAGCACCCCTGCTTGAGAACGAACTCCTGAACTATGATTTGAATAGGAACCCTTTATAACACACACATTCAGTATTGCAGGAAGAACTGATATTTAGTTCTATGTAATGTGATTAAATGTTGTTACTCCTGTTCATTTTAGAATTTTATGATAAGGTGGCCCGTAATACTAACATGAGCATATTTCAGGCTACTACACTGATACAACAGACAAAGGCTTTTTAGAAAACCTCAAGACAACCAGATTCATTCATGATGTAGATTTCAACAGCCATATACATCCTTTTCTTCATCATTTTTAAAATAAATGATATTTAAACATTAACTTTATTTTGCTGACTTCTTTAATATAATTATTTATTGATTTTAACATTTATATAGGTTTCTGGCAGTTAGATTCTGCTGGTACACCAAATCTATCCATGCAATTTCTAGTGTTGTGTTGTGGCTAGAGCAAGTTCTTGGGTTCTGTTCCACAGACTCAGACACTGAATAGTTTTGTGGTTTTGGGCAAACCACTTAATCTATCAGTTTTCCCATGACTATATTTATTGGTCTGTATCTCATACAGGATGCTATAAAGTTTAATTAATGTCTCTAAAGTAGTTTGTGATCTTTGGATAAAAATAGCTATATAAATATTTTTATTTCTAAATTGGCAGTTTTTCTAAAAGAAACAAGAATTGCTCTCTTAGGGTATGTCTTCACTACCGGCCGGATCGGCATGCAGCGATTGATCCAGCGGGGATCGACTTATCGCGTCTAGTCTAGATGCGATAAATCAATCCCCGAGCGCTCTCCCGTCGACTTCTGTACTCCAGCCCGGTGAGAGGTGCAGGCAGAGTTGATGGGGGTGCGGCAGCAGTCAACTCACCGCTGTGAAGACACCACGGTAAGTCAATCTAAATACATCGACTTCAGCTACGTTATTCACGTAGCTGAAGTTGCTTAACCTTAGATCGATCCCCCCCAGTGTAGACCAGGCCTTACACTAGTATTTCTTAAGAATATTACTGACCTCCATCTTCCTCAGAATCTAGATCAGATTCTTCACTATCACACTGCCTGCTCTCTCGATGTCCCTCCATCTCATAGGTCCACAGCATTAGAGAGGTGTCTGCCCCACCGACAGTGACCAACAAACTGTCCTCATGAGTCCAACGAACATTTGTTACATGCGTACTATGGGCCACATACCTCTTAAATTTTCCAAACTTTCCCTAAATATGAAAAAAAGAGACAAAAGTTTAATCAACTCTTCTAAATAAAATTAAAATGAGCTGCTAATAAAAGACATTTTTATCCACTACTATATCCTTAACCTTTTAAAAGCATATGCTTTAAAATAGTTTTGCATTTATTCTGTATTATATAATTTGACGAATTCCTTAATCATCCAGCAACTTGGTGAAATATAAACCAGATCTGCATTTCCAGTGGGGCTCTGGTTAAGAAAACGAAGAGCAAAGTCACTGCAATTTACAATAAGAACATAGGAATGACAATATTGACTCAGAGCAATGGTCCATCTAACCCAGTATTGTGTCTTCTGACAGCAGCCAGTGCTAGATGCTTCAGATGGAATGAAACAGAACAAGGCAATTATCAAATGATCCATGTTCAGTGCCAGCTTCTGGCAGCCAGCAGTTTAGGGATATCTGGAGCATGAGGTTGAGTACCCGACCATCTTGGCTAATTGCCGTTGATGGACCCATTCTCCAGGAATTTATCTAATTCTTTTTTGAACCCAGTTATATTTTTGGCCTTCACAATATCCCCTAGCAAACGAGTTCCACAGGTTGACTGCATTGTGTGAAGAAGTACTTCCTTATGTTTGTTTTAAACCTGCTGCCTATTAATTTCATTGGGTGAGCCGCGGTTCTTGTGTTATGTGAAGAGGTAAATAACACTTTCCTATTCACCTTCTCCACACCATTCATGATTTTATACACCTCTATCATATCTCCCCTTAGTCATATCTTTTCTAACCTGAACAGTCCCAGTCCTTTTAAAATCTCTCATATGGAAGCTGTTCCATATGCCTAATCATTTTTGTTTCCCTTCTCTGTATTTTTTCCAATTCTAATATATCTTTTTCAATAATTTATTGCAGCGTTTCCCAAACCTGGAACGCCGCTTGTGTAGGGAAAGCTCCTGGTGGGCCGGGCCAGTTTGTTTACCTGCTCCCTCTGCAGGTTCGGCCGATCACTGCTCCCACTGGCTGCGGTTCGCTGCTCCAGACCAATAGGGGCTGCTGGAAGCGGCAGCCAGTATGTCCCTCGGCCTGCACCACTTCCAGCAGCTCCCATTGGCCTGGAGCAGCGAACCGCCGCCAGTGGGAGCCGCAATCGGCCGGACCCTAAACAAACTGGCCCGGCCCGCCAGAGGCTTTCCCAACACAAGTGGCGTCCCAAGTTTGGGAAACACTGATTTATTGCATTAGTGTTCAAGAATCTTTCACCAAATATTGATTTTAGTAAGGAAGGAAAAAAACCAAATGTTCGAATTAAATATAAAAAACCTGGTTACTAACCTTCTGTAACTGTTGTTCTTTGAGATATGTTGCTCATGTCTATTCCAGTGTACGTGTGTGCTCGCCCCAAGCACCACCGCCGGAAAATTTTTGGTATCCACACAGGGCTCTAGTAATGGCCACCAGGAAGGCTACCTTCCAGGATAGGCAGAGCAGAAAGCACGTTGCCAGCAGTTCAAACGGGAGTCCTGTCAGCCGTGCCAACACCAGGTTGAGGTCCTAGGGGAGAAGCTATTGTACCAGGGGGGTATAATCTCTCCAGGCCTTTGAGGAAACAATCCCAGATGGAATTCAAGAAAACAGAACACCCATTCACCCATGGGTGAAAAGCCAAGACTGCCACTAGTTGGACCCTGATAGATGACACAGATAGGCTTTGTTGTTTCAAGTAGAGCAAGCAGTCCAAAATGAAAGACAGTGTTGACTGTGTAGGAGAAATACCCTTTAGTGCAGACCAAATCAAGAATCTTTTCCACTTTGCCAGATAAGTGGCTCTAGTGGAGGGTTTTCTGCTCCCTAAAAACACCTCACGAACTGTCCTGAGCATGCTAGCTCTGTGGGGTTCAGCCTTGGAGCTTCCAGGCCATGAGATGAAGGGACCTGAGGTTTGGATGAGGTAGATGGCCATGGTCCTGGGAGATCAGGTCTGGAAATAAAGGCAGATGGAATGGCGCTTCAACTGAGAGGTCCAGGAGGGTGCTGAACCAGTGCTGATGTGGCCAAGCTGAGGTTATCAGGATAAGGCACGTCCTGTCCCTTCTGATCTATAGCAAAACCTTGTGTATGAGAGGGATGGGAGGAAATGCATAGAAGAGATTGTCCATCCAAGGGAGGAGAAAAGAGTCTGCAAGTGACCCTGGGCTATGGCCGAGGAAGGAGCAGAACTGAAGACACTTCCTGTTGTGCCTCATCATGAACAGGTTGATGTGGGGAGTCCCCCACTTCTGGAAGATGTGTTTCACAATGTCTGGATGGATGGACTACTTGTGGTGACTGCAGAAGGACTGAGATGATCTGCTGCTCATTTTGTGACCCCAGCAGATAGGAGGCCTCGAGGTGGATCGAGTGGGCTATGCAGAATTCCCACAGGTGAGCTTCCTGACACAAGTGAGAGGAGCATACCCTACCCTGCCTGTTTATATAAAACATTGCTGTCATGTTGTCTGTGAGGATCGACATGCATTTGCCCTCCAAATGGTTTTGGAATGCCTGGCAGGCTAGGCAAACTGCACTGTGCTCCCTGATGTTGATATGTAACACAAACTCCTCTGGAGACCAGAAGACCTGAGTTCTGAGGGGTGAGCTCCCCAGCCCATCGCCAAAGTGTCTGATGAGAGACACTGATAGATGGGGTCTCAAGAACGGGACTCCAGCATACACTGGCAGCAGGTCCAGCCACTGAAGAAAGGAAGCAATCACTGATGGGGGAAGTGTGACTACTGTGTCCAAGCGGTGTTGGCCCGGTGCATATACCAATGCCAACCAAGCCTGAAGAGGTCTGAGCTGTAGTCTCACTTGCTGCAACACATAGGTGCATGATACCATGTGGCCCAGGTGTATTAGGTACTTTGTCTTGGTGATGGCTTTCCATAAGTGCCCCTAGCTCTTGGAACTGGGCTTCTGGGAAGAAGGCTCTGACTTTGACCAAGTCGAGGATTGCACCAATAAATTCTATCCTTTAAACCAGGGAAAGGGTAGACTTCTGGGTATTTATTAACAGGCCCAAGTCCTGGAAAGTTGACTGTATTAACTTTACATTTGTCTCCACCTGGGCCTCAGTCCAACCTTTGATCAGTCAGTCGTTGAGGTAAGGGTAGACCTGAACCCCTTGTTTCCCCAGGAAGACCGTGATGACTGCCATGCACTTCGTAAACACCCAAAGGATCACTGATAGGCCAAATGGAAGCACTGCAAACTGGTAGTGCACTTGATTCACGATAAATCTGAGGAACCTTCTGTGTCCTTGAAAGACTGCAATATGAAAATAAGAATCCTTCAAATTGAGGGGATCCAAGGAGGGGGTGAGAGAGGCCAAGGAGACCATGCAGAACTTCAGTCTCTTCATGAACTTCTTGAGCTTCTGCAGGTCTAGAATTGGTCTGAGACTGCTGTTGGCCTTCAGGATTAGGAAATAACTGGAATAGGACCCCTAGCTCCTTAGCTACTGTGGAACCTCCTTCACAGCTCCCAACCTTAGGAGCAACTACACTTCTTGGATAAAAAGGAGCTCGTGAGGTCCCGCTCACCTAAACGAGCTCAACCTCTGTCTCCAGGGTGCAGGGCAAACGGTTCTGGATCTTTATGAAACCTGGAAAGCATTTGTTGTAAAACTAGCAGTTTTTTCTTGGGATATTCGAACTTCGACTTTCCACTACTTCCAACACATAAAAGAGCTATCGAGACGTTGCACTGTCAGTGTCAATGAGATTGGAATGTACATGCAAGAACTGGAATCTGAAATTTTTGACACATTTCAAGATTTCCAGTGATTTGGCCCAATGCTTTCTTTTCTAATTAAATCTGAAAAGTTCAACGAAAAGCGACTTGGATTTGTCTGTATTTCAGTGGATGGGTGCTGAAGATTTCGAAATGCAGCTCATTCAGTTAAAAAGGTCAGAATTGTGAGCATCAAAGTTTGGAGATCTGCGGAGTGCAACTGAAGCTACCGAGAGAGATCATGGGGTCTCTATTCTGACCTGCTGGACGTCCCTGGCAGTGAAATTTTACTGTTTGAAGGAAATTTCGTTTGCAATACTTTCAGTATTTGGATCCATATATTTTCACATATGAAAATCTGTCCTAATCGGAACCAGTTAACAACTGATCACTCAGAAGCCTCTGTGCAGCTTAAAGTATCCAAATACGTGCCAGACATTGGAAAACTCAGCAAGGAAAAGCAAGGGCAAGGATCACACTAAACTGATAAGATCTGCATTTTAATTTAATTTTAAATCATCATAGGGATCATAGAATATCAGGGTTCGAAGGGACCTCAGAAGGTCATCTAGTCCAACCCCCTGCTCAAAGCAGGGCCAATCCTCAGACAGATTTTTGCCCCAGATCCCTAAATGGCCCCCTCAAGGATTGAACACACAACCCTGGGTTTAGCAGGCCAATGCTCAAACCATTGAGCTATCCCTCCCCCCTTAATAAAGCTTCTTAAATGTTTTAAAAACCTTATTTACTTTATATACAACAATAGTTTAGTTATATAATATAGACTTATAGTGAGAGACCTTCTAAAAACGTTAAAATGTATTACTGGCACGCGAAACCTTAAATTACAGTGAATAAATGAAGACTTGGCACACCACTTCTGAAAGGTTGCTGACCCCTGCTCTAGAGATCTCAGAGTGGCCTGGCACGGGTTGCACTCTACTAGAGTCTCTCTGTGACCTGGGGGTTGGGGATTGACTTCTGTCCATCTTTTTCAGCACCAGTGATGAAGAGCAGTGCTGAGAGTCCTTGGCCGGCGCAGTCTTCTTCGGCCCTGGAGATGACAGATGGTGACGAGGCTCCCGAGAGGCAGAAGCAATGTCCCTTCTCGGTGCCGGGGATGGACACCGGCACAAAGTCCTAATAGTCGCTGGGGCGCTTCTGAAAGAAGCTGAAGTACTTGGTGCTGAGTCCGAGGGACTTGGCTCCGAGGGAGGACAGAGAGCTGCCTCAATAAGAATAAACTTAAGTCTCTTGTCCCCATCTTTTTTGGTGCGGGGCATGAAATTTTTGCAGATCTTGCAGCGCTCCTGCACATGAGCTTCCCCCAGGCACTTAATGCAGCTGGAATGGGGGTTGCTCACCGGCATAGGCTTGTGGCAAGAACCACAAGGCTTAAACCTCAGAAACTGAGGCATAACCCGGTGCCAGGCAGTGACTAACCCCGCAACTTGGGGTTCATTAACCTAACAACTGTTCTAACAACTAAAACTTAACTATAATAATGGTAACTATACACAACAAATTAGAAACAAAATCCGCTGAGGAGTATTTGTGAACACAAGGACGAAGTAGTTCCAGCGACTGTCACGGGCAGTAAGAAGGAACTGAGGGTGCTGCGAGGCCCTTTCTACCGGCATCATGAGCATGTGACTCCAGGGAGTACAAGAGCTGACTCGATGGATACCACTGAGGGGAAAAACTTTCGGGCAGCGGTGCTCGTGGCGAGCACACACCTACACTGGAATGAACATGAGCAACCACTCAAAGGAGAACTGTGCATAACAATATTAAACACAGAGGTTTAGGACTGTGTAGCAGTTGTGAAACTTCATGTTAAAATACTATAAGCACGTGCACTACTGACATCACTTGTATGGTATAATATTAACAATTGAAGAACTATGTGATGGCATAAATATATTTCACAGTTTAATGCACAACAACTTATAATATCATAATTATTTCCTTAACTGATCATGGTGACAAAAAATGTAAGAGCAATATTATGCTTTATATGGAGTGATAATTTTGGTAAGTGCTGGCATAAGCAATTTAATTAACCAGTCTTCTAATACCACAGTTAGAAACTTACTTACTTTAGCAGGGAATCGGAAAAGTTTCACAAACCCAAAATCATCTCCTGTGGCCAAAACTTTACTATCACTGGTGAGGCATGAAGCAGTTACATCTGTGACTTCCCCAATTATTGGCCAGATTCCTTCACAGCAAGAGCCCAGAACACTTGTCCACGATGCCCAGCCAATCTTTTCAACCTACAAAACAAAATTTGTCATCAATCTGATCTCAAACAAAACAAAAGCTTTTTTATTTCAAAATATATTATTTTATATACTGTGATAGATTCAGACCAGAAGAATATAAGAGAGTGGTGGAAGGCAGGTACATCAGCCTTCTGAATGAGCAGGTCCCTGTTCCTGGATAGCCAAACAAAAGCTACTCCAGACCAATTAAGACACCTGATGCCAATTAACCAGTTAAGGCCGTTCGGCTAATGGAGACAGCTGGAACCAATCAAGGTCCCACTTATACTGTTTAAAAGCTCTCCTTCCAGTACCCTCTGGGGAGCCGAGGTGAAAGGAGCTGGAGAAGAGGAAGCATTTCTGAATCCTGAGGTAAGGGTGAAGCTAGGAAAAGGGGACCATGGGGGAAGTGGCCCAGGGAATCAAGGCAGCGTCAGTGGTGAAGGGAAAGCTGCCAACAGCTGCCACCATTAGGGTCCCTGGGCTGGAACCCAGAATAGAGGGCGGACCTGGGTTCCCCCGGCCCCCGTACTCTACAGAGATTCCCTGGAGAAGGGAAGCAGGACTCAGACCAGACAGGAGGCTGAACTGCACCTACTGAGCTCTACGGAGTAACAGAGACTGTGGGGTATTCCCCCTTCCCATCTCCCATACTGGCTGGTGATGAAAGTAACTCAATAGGCTGTGACTCTTGCCACTACACTGAAAAAGGGAGGTCACATTGGGGCCTTATCAAGTTTCTGAGGCCACTGAATCCGCCCAGAAGCGTGGGACCTACCAATACAGGCTCGGAACTTTGTCACAACTGGTGTCAGGAGTGAGATAGTTGACTTATCGTTCACAGCACAGTGAAAAAAGGGGAGAGTTAAAAAAAAATAAAAGGTAAACTGGGTTTGGGTGTCCTCACCACAATGGAAGACGTAATAAAAGCACTGATGCAAGCCACTGCAGCCCAGCAGGAGGCCACCCGAGTCCAAGTGAGGGCGCAACAAGAATCCATGTGGCTACATCAAGAGACTAAGCAATTATTGATAGGGCAGGCCTCCCAAGATCGAGCCCTCTTGCGGGAGGTGGTCAACCAACTGACCTCCTCCGCCAAAAGCCAAGGATCTGAAGGGTCGCGAGTATGGAGGGCTGCTGGTTGCCTACCAAAGATAACAGCCGATGATGACATAGAAGCGTATCTCCTCTCCTTTGAGAGGACCGCCTTGTGAGAGGCATGGCCCCAGGACCAGTGGGCCAGCATCCTCGCTCCCTTCTTATGTGGAGACGCCCAGAAAGCCGATCACGACCTGCCTGCTGAAGCTGCCGTTGACTACCCCCAGCTGAAAGCGGAGATCCTGGTGTAATCAGGGGTAACAACCGCAGTACAGGCCCAGAGATACCATGGGTGGAGGTACCAGGAGGGCTAACCTCTGAGGTCACAATTGTTCGACCTCATTCGCCTCACCCAGAAGTGGTTAAGACCCGAAGTATGCAACCTGGAGGAAAAGTTGGGAACTTTGGTCATAGACTGCTATATGAGGGGACAGCCGCCGGATCTTCGTGCATGGGTGGACCAAAACAACCCCTTCACTTAAGACTGTGTGATCACATTGGTGGAGAGATGGATAACGGCCCGAGAGCTGTCCCGACTACCTAGAGAAGCCCCTTCCTGAAACAAGTACCCGGCTGTGACCCCAGAAGGTCAGGTAACTAAGCATCCGAAGAGCCACAGGTGGAAGAAGGTAGTGGCTACAGAGCAGCCGGGAACCCAGAAAGGGGGAGGGGATAGCCTGAGTGGGGGAACCACAGGGCAAAGACCCCTAACCCAAGAGACAACGGAGCACCTAGAGCCCCTTACAGGTGTTACATGTGTGGGGAATTGGGACACCTAGTGGCACAATGTCCCAATATTGAGGAGCTCATGCAGTGTAACCTGGGGGACTGGGCAGACCCATGCATCTCAATCAACCTTGTGGGGGTTGCAGTTACCCCACATCAATATACAAAACCAGTGAAACTGAATGGGGTAGAGACCATGGCGCTTGTGGACTCTGGCAGCGCTGTCACCCTGATTTCGAGGAAACTAGTGAAACGCAGCCAGTTAATACAGGCCAAGCATACGGGAGTAACATGTGTACATGGGACCGTTAGTTATTATCCTGTCATCCCGGTGAGGATCGAAATCCAGGAAAACATCACCGGGGTAAAAGGGGGAGTGGTCCCTAAACTCCCATACCCTGTACTCATTGGAAGGGATTTCCTGGGATTTGAAAATTTGCTCCTGCCAGAGGGGCGGGAGAGAGGAGAAGATCTCGAAGTTAAGGAGTCATCCCTAACAGAAAGTCACCCCCTCTTCTTTGCTGAAATATCTCAAGAGTTGTTCCCTGCCTCTGGGAAGGGCAGAAAAACCAAGAGGGAAAGGAGGGCAGTAAAGGTTTTGGGCACCCGGATCCTGCTTCAGAGCCAGAACGTTGCCATGGTAGGTCGACAGGCATGGGAAACTGAGGGAGAGACCCCGAAGGGGAGGAGGAAGCAGAGGCTGGTCCCAACCCCAATGTCACTGAACTGACCAAGGGGACGGAGGCCAGTTCCTCGGAGTTCGGGGCGACAGGTCCCAGAAGAGAGACTTTTGGGCGAGACCAGGTGGAAGACTCCAGGTATGATGTCAGAAAAGAGGTGGCTGAGATAGATGGGGTGCTCGTAGAAGGAAAGGCCCAGGGACCAGTGCCCTATTTTGTGATTAAGAAGGATCTCCTGTACCGGGTGGTACAAAGGCAGGAACAAATGGTAAACAAGCTCCTGGAACCAAAAAAACAGCAGAGGGCAATATTAAGTCTCGCCCACAGTCACCTCTTTGGGGGACACTTGGGGGTAGAGAAGACCCTGGCACGGATCTTGCACAGATTCTTCCGGCCGGGGGTACATGAGGATGTCCGGTGGTACTGCACCTCTTGTCCCTAGTGTCAATTACACAGACCTCACCCACATCTAAGGGCCCCTTTGGTACCCCTATCAATCACTGAGATTCCCTTTGAGCGAATAGCCATGGACCTGGTGGGACCTCTAGAAAAGGTGACTCAAGGCCACCAATATGTGCTTGTTGTCTTGGATTATGCAACCAAGTATCCAGAGGCCATTCCCCTCCGAAACACGACCTCTAAGTCCATAGCGCTAGTGGAAATTTTTGCCCGGGTAGGGCTACCAAAAGAGATTCTAACAGACCAAGGAACACCTTTTATGTCTAAACTGATGAAGGACCTCCGCTCCATGTCCAGATCCTGCAAACCTCGGTTTACTATCCGCAGACCAATGGTATGATAGAGAGATTCAACCGGACCCTCAAATCCATGATAAGAAAGGTGGTAAGTAGGGATGAAAAGGACTGGGATACCGTTGCCCTACCTGATATTTGCCATCCGTGAAGTTCCCCAAGCCTCCACTGTATTCTCTCCCTTTGAGCTATTATATGGTCTCCACCCCCGGGGCATACTAGACATAGCCAGGGAGATTTGGGAAGAGAAGCCCAATACGGGGAAGAATATAGTTGAACATGTATTGCAAATGAGAGACTGTATAACCCAAGTCACCCCCATAGTGCGGGAGCACCTGGAGAAGGCCCAAAAAGACCAGCAAACTCACTACAGCCGCCAAGCAAAGGTACGGTAGTTCCAACCGAGTAATGGTGTTAGTACCCACGGCAGAGAGTAAATTCTTGGCCCAATGGTAGGGGCCCTATGAAGTAGTTGAACCTATAGGAGAGGTAAATTACAAGGTACAACAACCGGGACATAGAAAACCAGAACAAGTACCACATCAACCTTCTAAAACCCTGGCATACCCAAGAAGTGTGTGTAGTTGTCCAAAAGGACCTACCACAGGAGAACAAAACCCCCAAGCCGGTGAGGGTATCTCCCGATTTAACGCCAGCCCAAAGAGAGGAGGTGACCAAGATGATCAACTGGAACCAAGACGTATTATTGTCTTGGCCAGGTCGAACAACTGAGACATACCACCACATCAATACAAACCCCAGGGTCAAGGTAACGATGAGGCCCTACCGGGTGCCAGCAGCCAAAAGAGAAGAAATCAGAGCGGAAGTAAAGAAAATGCTGTAGTGAGGGGTAATCGAAGAATCCTACATCCGATTGTGCTAGTGCCCAAACCGGATGGCTCCACGAGGTTTTGTAATGACTTTCGTCAGCTGAATGAGGTGTCCCAGTTCGACGCGTACCCTATCCCCCACATAGACAAGTTAGTGGACCGACTAGGAAATGCCCGGTTCCTGACCACTGAAGACTTAACTTAAGGGTATTGGCAGATTCCTCTTGCTGAAGATGCAAAAGAGAAGACTGCTTTCTCCACGCTGGAGGGTCTCTTTCAATATACAGTCCTCCCGTTGGGTCTGCGTGGGGCCCCATCTATTTTTCAGAACCTCATGGATAAGCTATTGCACCCCCATGCCAGTTATGCGGCCGCCTACCTGGACGATATGGTTATTCATACTTCGGACTGGGAAACCCACCTGGAGAAGGTGGAAGCTGTCCTAGATACCCTAAGGTGTGCTGGCCTTACTGCAAACCCCGCCAAGTGCGCCATAGGGTTAACAGAGGCTAAATATTTGGGCTACATTGTGGGACAAGGTATAGTAAAACCCCAACTCAATAAAACTAGAGGCCATCCAAAACTGGCCCTGACCGATTCGCAAGAAACAAGTCCAGGCATTTTGGGGGGAAGTGGGGTACTATCGACGCTTTATCCCCCATTTCACCACCAGGGCAAGTGCCCTGATGGACCTAATAAAAGCTTGGGTACCTGAGATAGTACGATGGACTGATGCAGCAGAGAGGGCATTTACAGATCTGCGGACAGCCCTCTGCAGTGACCCCGTACTTATAGCCCCAGACTTCACTAATGGGTTCATCCTGCAGACAGACACATCCGAAGTAGGACTGGGGGCTGTTCTATCCCAGATAGTCGGAGAAGAACACCACCCTATCCTCTACCTTAGGAGGAAACTCCTCCCAAGG